TCTATCTGCACTCAATTCGTTTATTAATTCGTGTCTAACGAATCTTGTCATATCGGATTCATGTCGTGTAGGATCGTGTTTAACCAATATATACACAAATTGTATATTTCTTTTGATTGGATTCACCTATACCCTTTTCGTTTATTAATCGTGTCGTGCATTTCTTAAAATAGACTCAAATCCTATAATTTCGTATCTTGTTGACGGGCCNGTGTTAAAAAATACTCTATCTGCACTCAATTCGTTTATTAATTCGTGTCTAACGAATCTTGTCATATCGGATTCATGTCGTGTAGGATCGTGTTTAACCAATATATACACAAATTGTATATTTCTTTTGATTGGATTCACCTATACCCTTTTCGTTTATTAATCGTGTCGTACATTTCTTAAAATAGACTCAAATCCTATAATTTCGTATCTTGTTGACAGATCATGTCATATTATGACACCATTAATCACCACCACCCTAATCATAGACACTCATTCTGCCAACTGCATCTCTTTCGCACCATATCTTAACTAACAAATCTGGTTAGGGTATGGAAATATAACTTTTTTGCTCCCTATTTTCACATCTAATCCAATTATATCNGAGCAAGAATTTCGGGGACCACAAATGGAGTAAGGATAAAGACTTGGCAGGTAAGTATCATTTTACAACTTCTTCATATAGGCTCCGNCTTCCTCATATAGGCTCTGAGGACAAATTACACTTTATACCTTCAACTATAGTCCTAATCTCTTTTTATCCCCTCATCTATCGGGTTTTTTTTTTCACATTGGTCCCTTAATTACAGGAATTTGTCTCATGTTTCGGACAGAAGGTTTTTATGTGTCATTAGTTGAGGGGATAATATGAAATAAGAGTATAGTTGAGGGATCAAAGTATAATTTATCCTAATATCTAACTCATTAACAACATTGACTTTGGATGAAATAACACATCAAACCCCTTGTTTGTGTGAAATGACAAGAAAGCCCCACAGTTCACATTTCTATATTTCATCAATGATCAATTAAATGTTCATTTTTATCTCATTTTCTATGCAGGGAGGATCTGGATACGCAAAGAACATCAAATTCCAAAACATTATCATGCACAATGTGACTAATCCCATAATTATAAATCAAAACTATTGTGATCAGCCAAAATCATGTCCAGAACAGGTAATAAATAATTCAAACTCTATCACCACTAGACTTGTCAATCGTGTCGGGTCTTAACTGGGTCGTGTTAAAAAATATTCTATCTGCACTCAATTCGTTTATTAATTCGTGTCTAACGAATCTTGTCATATCGGATTCATGTCGTGTAGGATCGTGTTTAACCAATATATACACAAATTGTATATTTCTTTTGATTGGATTCACCTATACCCTTTTCGTTTATTAATCGTGTCGTGCATTTCTTAAAATAGACTCAAATCCTATAATTTCGTATCTTGTTGACGGGCCATGTCATATTATGACACCATTAATCACCACCACCCTAATCATAGACACTCATTCTGCCAACTGCATCTCTTTCGCACCATATCTTAACTAACAAATTTGGTTAGGGTATGGAAATATAACTTTTTTGCTCCCTATTTTCACATCTAATCCAATTATATCGTGATCATTTTTTTCTGAATAGTCATATTTTGCTATAACACACTTATTTTTTTTTATATCTTTTTGTGAGTACCGTAGACTCATCCTCTAACTCCATGATCTGTATTTGATTTCAGCACTCAGCTGTGCAAGTAACGAATGTGGTGTACAAGAATATCAGAGGAANAGTTGAGGGGATAATATGAAATAAGAGTATAGTTGAGGGATCAAAGTATAATTTATCCTAATATCTAACTCATTAACAACATTGACTTTGGATGAAATAACACATCAAACCCCTTGTTTGTGTGAAATGACAAGAAAGCCCCACAGTTCACATTTCTATATTTCATCAATGATCAATTAAATGTTCATTTTTATCTCATTTTCTATGCAGGGAGGATCTGGATACGCAAAGAACATCAAATTCCAAAACATTATCATGCACAATGTGACTAATCCCATAATTATAAATCAAAACTATTGTGATCAGCCAAAATCATGTCCAGAACAGGTAATAAATAATTCAAACTCTATCACCACTAGACTTGTCAATCGTGTCGGGTCTTAACTGGGTCGTGTTAAAAAATATTCTATCTGCACTCAATTCGTTTATTAATTCGTGTCTAACGAATCTTGTCATATCGGATTCATGTCGTGTAGGATCGTGTTTAACCAATATATACACAAATTGTATATTTCTTTTGATTGGATTCACCTATACCCTTTTCGTTTATTAATCGTGTCGTGCATTTCTTAAAATAGACTCAAATCCTATAATTTCGTATCTTGTTGACGGGCCATGTCATATTATGACACCATTAATCACCACCACCCTAATCATAGACACTCATTCTGCCAACTGCATCTCTTTCGCACCATATCTTAACTAACAAATTTGGTTAGGGTATGGAAATATAACTTTTTTGCTCCCTATTTTCACATCTAATCCAATTATATCGTGATCATTTTTTTCTGAATAGTCATATTTTGCTATAACACACTTATTTTTTTTTATATCTTTTTGTGAGTACCGTAGACTCATCCTCTAACTCCATGATCTGTATTTGATTTCAGCACTCAGCTGTGCAAGTAACGAATGTGGTGTACAAGAATATCAGAGGAACCAGTGCTTCAGAGGTGGCTGTTAAACTTGACTGTAGCAAGACCTTCCCATGCAGTGACATTGTGTTGCAGAACGTAAATCTAGTCCGTGAAGGAGAGACAAAAGCAAAAGCTTCATGCCAGAACGTCAGCCTAGCAAGCACAGGGAGGGTCTCTCCACTTTGCCATTGACAAAAAAGCAAAAGAACATCACATTCTTATGAAACAGTTTTTTGAGTTTTAATTAGAATTTAAATAGGAATATATTTTTTTAGTGAAGAATAATTAGATTTTTTTATTTCATGTAAACTTTTTTTAGATTTTATGCTCGACGAGAATTATTGATTTCGTTTCTTTATATAAGTTTGTAAGCCAGTGGCGAAAGTCTCGTAGATTGAGCCGCCCTTTTTTATAAGTTTGTAAGTCACGTAACAATTTAGAGATATTTATACCCATTCGTCTGGAACATTTCTCATTTATTTTATCGTACATTTTTTTTTTTTTTTTGTGAATTTAAGGTTATGTGTGTGTTCTTCAATAGAGAAACTTTATTTTCCTCTGGTAGTTGCTATTTGGTACATTACAATCTGAGTCTTGAATAACTTGCATGTTTTTTTTTTTTTTTGAACTGGACTAACTTGCATGTTGGCTGATGAGTAAAATGTGACATTTCAAAGTTTTTTCTTTATCTATAATATAAAATAGGATAAGCTTTAATAAGTTCATTTGATGGTATCAAATAAATTAATCCAACGGGCACAAACAATCTCTCTCAAAACTATTTATATTGTAGTGTGACTTCAAGCACGAGTTATCCCTTGTACCTAATAAGGCTTACATGATCTTCACAATATAATTGCTCGTTTAAAGCATAGTTAGTAATCTGGCCCTAGCATTGACCTGGCAAAAGAATTGGTTAACGAGTCATTGGGTTAACTGGTTAGATCGGTCATAAATTTAACAGAAAATTGTGAGCAGTTATCTTTTAAACTATTTAATTGTGAGAAAATATGTTGACTAAAATCTTTTATAGATAAGTACCTTTGACTCGANCTGGACTAACTTGCATGTTGGCTGATGAGTAAAATGTGACATTTCAAAGTTTTTTCGTTATCTATAATATAAAATAGGGTAAGCTTTAATAAGTTCATCCGATGGTATCAAATAAATTAATCCAACGGGCACAAACAGTCTCTCTCAAAACTATTTATATTGTAGTGTGACTTCAAGCACGAGTTATCCCTTGTACCTAATAAGGCTTACATGATCTTCACAATATAATTGCTCGTTTAAAGCATAGTTAGTAATCTAGCCCTAGCATTGACCTGGCAAAAGAGTTGGTTAACGAGTCATTGGGTTAACTGGTTAGATCCGTCATAAATTTAACGGAAAATTGTGAGCAGTTATCTTTTAAACTATTTAATTGTGAGAAAATATGTTGACTAAAATCTTTTGTAGATAAGTACCTTTGACTCCAAATTTATTATAGTTAGGTACTTCTTGACAGATTTTTAAATATTTCTTCACTAAAATACTCTTTTCATTATTTGAAGGCTTGTTAATTTAGCAATCCCATTTTTTATGGGATTTGATTTTATTATATTAATAATTTTATATATTAAGGGATGGAACATATTTAATATTCAAAATTATACCACATAAAATATACTTTAAAGGTTTGGCCCAGATTTTGAAATTTANAAGGCTTACATGATCTTCACAATATAATTGCTCGTTTAAAGCATAGTTAGTAATCTAGCCCTAGCATTGACCTGGCAAAAGAGTTGGTTAACGAGTCATTGGGTTAACTGGTTAGATCCGTCATAAATTTAACGGAAAATTGTGAGCAGTTATCTTTTAAACTATTTAATTGTGAGAAAATATGTTGACTAAAATCTTTTGTAGATAAGTACCTTTGACTCCAAATTTATTATAGTTAGGTACTTCTTGACAGATTTTTAAATATTTCTTCACTAAAATACTCTTTTCATTATTTGAAGGCTTGTTAATTTAGCAATCCCATTTTTTATGGGATTTGATTTTATTATATTAATAATTTTATATATTAAGGGATGTAACATATTTAATATTCAAAATTATACCACATAAAATATACTTTAAAGGCTTGGCCCAGATTTTGAAATTCATTTTTTTATATTATTTTTTAAGGTTAAATGGTTCTAATTGTTCTCAAATTTAACAACAGTGTCACTTTACAATGTTACACTGTAATGTAACACTATCTTTCATTAAAAGAAATATATATAGATGTGACATTTGTGATGTCACATTATATGATATATACTATTTAAATTGTGTATGAATCAATGAATGTAATTTCACAAGTTTAAGTGAATGAATGAATGTAATATGGATGTTGCTTGAGAGAAAATGAGTAACGAATATGTATATTGAAGTGATACAAGATATATATGATAGGGTTATGACTACAATTAGGTCTTTCGTGGGAGATAGTAAAGAATTTTCAACCACGGTGGAATTACACCAATGATCGCCTTATGTCTATATCTATTCGCTCTAATTATGTATGAGCTCACTAGACATATTAAAGATGACATCTCACGATTTTTGCAGATGATGTTATNTATGATATATACTATTTAAATTGTGTATGAATCAATGAATGTAATTTCACAAGTTTAAGTGAATCAATGAATGTAATATGGATGTTGCTTGAGAGAAAATGAGTAACGAATATGTATATTGAAGTGATAAAAGATATATATGACAGGGTTATGACTACAATTAGGTCTTTTGTGGGAGATAGTAAAGAATTTTCAACCACAGTGGAATTACACCAATGATCGGCCTTATGTCTATATCTATTCGCTCTAATTATGTATGAGCTCACTAGGCATATTAAAGATGACATCTCACGATTTTTGCAGTTGATGTTGTATTAGTAGATGAAACTCAAAGGAGGATTAACAATAAGCTAAATATTTGGAGCAAGACACTCGAGTCGAAAGGGTTTAAAATAAGTAGAAGTAAGACTGAAGATATGCAATGCAATTTTAGTAATAGAAGAAATAGACATAGTGAAAAAATTAATATTGAAAATCAAAAAATACTAATGAGTATACGATTTAGATATCTAAGATCGATCATTAAAAATGATGGAGAAATTGGAGATGATGTAACTTAAAGAATCGACGTCGGTTGACTTAAGTGGAGAAAAGACTTTGGCATATTATGTGATAGAAGTATACCAAAAAAAATTGAAAGGTAAGTTTTACTGAATAGCTATAAGAACAACAATGTTGTATAAGAAGGAATGTTGGGCAACAAGAAAATAACATTGTGACAAAATGAGCATAGCGGAGATGAGAATACTAAGATAGATGTGTGAAAAAATTAAAAATGATTGGATACGAAATGACCGTATTAGAGAATAGCACAAGTAGCTCCAATTGAAGATAAATTAAGAGCAAATAGATTAAAATGATTTAGTCATGTTCAACGGATGCCGATAGAAGTACCGGTTCAAAAAAGTGTGATAATATCTCTTTATGGTACTAGAAGTAGAGGTAGACCGAAATTAACATTGAACAAAATAATAATAAAATATATAAAAATATTTAACTTAAATGAGTGTATAGCACATGATCGAAATGAATAACAAAGACGAACTCATATAGCTAACCCCAAATGACTGGGACATAAAGCTTGATTTTTTTGGTTTTTGGTTTGAGCTTGGGCTGGTTTCATTATCTAAACAAGTCGAATTTAAATAATTTTTAATGTTCGTTTAGAAAAACAAGTTCGACAATCTTGGCTCGAGCTCGCAAAACTCGGCTCGATTATCAATCTTAATGGAGGTCGATTTTTTTATAAATAATGTGTTACACTTAAATTCACAATAAGTAATTTATCATTAAAAATATATTTAAGGAAATCTCAATTCAATACTCCAGTCAATTTGATTAGAATGAGGAAGCATGGAAAGCAAATCTTTGCTCCAGACCTCCACTAACGTCAATCTTGAATTCAACCCAGATGGTAGAATATCTTTCAAATGCCACGTTTCCTAACTTTTGATGCCGTGTGTTTGAGCTTTTGATGACACAATGGCACTAAGCTAAGTATGTCACAAATGAAACGTGGATAAAAACTTATAAACACACACTAATGAGGACTTTTATAATATACACTGGTGTCTCTATTATTACACCTTTAATGTATCAAAAGTATTACAAAGTGATTCTTCTCTTAGATTCTGTTATTTTTTTACACACAATGTTTATTACAATGTGTCAATAGAGAGATTGTTTACAAACAAAATAACAGAAGTTAAGAGAAATGTCACATTTCAACACTTTTAATTTATTAAAGAGAAATGTCACATTTCAACACTTTTAATTTATTAAAGGTACTGTGTAAAAAAAAAAAAATTCCTCTTAAATACTTTTGATGTATGACACAACACCCGTCGTTGAGAATTCACAATGCTTTAGAACTAAATCATCTATCCTGTATTCATAAGAGACCCATTTAAGTATAATTGAATCCACTTTAATTCACAGTATCTTAACTCAAAAAATTATTGAACAAATCGAAATGGATTTCAACCCATCTTGTTCGCCAACCCATTGCTGCTCTAGTTTAGTGCAAATCTCCATAAACATTAAAAAAAAACTTGGTTTTTAATGTTGGATTTCCATACAAATACTGTGGTTGAATTTGGGTTTACTCATTCAACCATATATATAATATATATTGGCATTCAAACTTTGAATATGAGACATTTTTTCAACAATTATTTTTTTTTCCCAGGTCAATTTGCCAAAACAAAGGTTGAGGAAGCTTGTAAAGTCAATCTTTGATCCATAACTTCGGTTACAGACAGTTATAAGACCACTTGTAATTTTTGTTTATAAAACATGACAAGCATAACGAGTTTCTAACGTCACGTTGGCCAACTATTGGATGTTTTGTGTTCGAGCTTTTGAGGGACTCCACCAGTTCAACGGATTATTTTTTTAGTTTGCGGTGACAGGAATAAAATCGTGCACTTTTAAGGTAAGAGGTCCACTTTGAACACTTTAAAAGGGAAAGATTAATAAAATATGCAGCAAGTGAACTCCACAATGGTGAACTTTACGACAGTGAACTAAAAAACTCAATATGTTTTGTTATATACTGTGGACAAAAGAATAGCTGAATTTTTTAGTTCTTTGCCGTTTAATTCACTTTGTATAGTTTACTATTGGTGGTGGTTGGTGTTGAGTTTTTATGGAAGAAACTGGATTTACCTATGAGAAAGATAATGACTCTTGTTCGGCTTTGGTTGAGCAAATTGCAAGACACAAAGGGTAACATTGTCATTTAAAAAAGAGAAAAATTAGTTTGGATTAGACGACAAAAAAATTCAATTGAGCTGGACTTCACGCTTTAAAGTGTACATGCCTGAATTTATTTACAAATTTAGTACAAAATTTATAGTTTTCAACAATTCTCACTTTATAATATAACATATAAAATAGTTTGGGTCATGAGTTATCCGCGTTATGTTCGATATGTGTGTAGACATTAAAAAATTTACAAATATAATTATATTTATTAGTGGGCTCAAATCTTTTAGATAAATTAAATTGGGTTGGACTTAAATTCCATAAGCTCAAATAATACAAGTCAAAAGTTAATTAAATAGGTTTGAGTTAGACCTAAATTCTACAGCCCAAATAATACAAGCCTAATTTTAATTATTTAGGCTTCTCAAATTAAATTGTGTTGAACCTAAATTTCATAAGCTCAAATAACATAAATCAATTAAAACCCATAAATTTAAATTAATATGGGTGGTCTACTTTTTAAAGTCTATATTCATACAAGGGTATTCAAGTAAAATATCCGTATATAGATAATTACTCCTAGCCCTATAAATAGGGATCTGTGAGAAGCAAAAGAGGGGCCAAGGAAAAAGGGTAAAGGAGAGGAGGGCAAGAACGAGAAGCCAAGGAGAAGAAGCTGAGGAGAAAGGAAGATGAAGAAAGCTATGTCCCAATTCATCTCAAGTGAAGAAGGGAGGATCAGCGGTGAAACTCTATCGGAGTCTCCCTCTAACTAAAGTCTTTCAAGTCCATATCTGAGAATAAAAGCACACCACCAAGGTCCTTCAAGAGATTCAAATTATTTTGAAGTAATTCAATATAAAGCACAGGGAAAAGGTCAACCAAAATCATTATCAAATCAAAGAAGAAGAACTACATCAATCTAATCTTAGTTTTCAACAAATCCATCAAAGATCAAAGAACGAAAATCATGTCAATCCGATTCTCGTCTTCAATAAATCCACCAAAGACGTCATCAATTGAAAATCAAGGATCACGCCAATCAAGCCCTAGTTTTCAACAAATCTACCAAAGTCATCATCAAATCAAAAAAACGAGAATTATGTTGATCTAGCCCTCGTCTTCATCAAATACATCAAAGCCACTACCAAATCAAAGATCGAGAAATACGCCGATCCGGCCCTAATCATCATCAAATTCACCGAGAATCAGAAGATAATGCACATGAGAAACATACCGAGGAGAGTCAATGTCACTTTATTAAATCAAGTCAAATCATCAAACTATTGTAATTTGATCTTATTTTGTGTTAATTTTATACACGAAATTTATCATTATAATGGTTTTTTGTGTCATTTACATATCAATGGGGGATCTTAATTTCTTTTAATATATTTTTTTGATGATAGATCATTCATCATGAAATCAGGTAAAATTCAGTACATAAAATGGGTCTCCTACTAGTACATAGCTAGGTGATCTGCCATTAAGTAAAATTCAAGAAAAGTGTATTACAAGAAATCCCAACCTGAAAATATGAATGCAACTCATTTTAGCAAATGAATTAGGTGTGCTAATTTGTTTATGACAAGAATACGCTTAGGCTCAATACAAAACGTCTAATGTTATATCAAGTTTAAATTGTGTAAACGTCTTGTGCCAATTTCAAACTCAAAATGTGAGATGTTGAATAATCGGATTATTGTATCAACTCTTTTAATGACATGAATGTGATTAGCCAAATCCAAATCCATTAATTTTCGTGTCAGTTTTAAATTGTGTTAACGTATAGTGTAAAAAAAAAAGGTAAAAACTACAAACAAATGTTACTTCAAAAATATTTAAAAATAAAATAAATAAATAATATATANATTGTATCAACTCTTTTAATGACATGAATGTGATTAGCCAAATCCAAATCCATTAACTTTCGTGTCAGTTTTAAATTGTGTTAACGTATAGTGTAAAAAAAAAAGGTAAAAAATACAAACAAATGTTACTTCAAAAATATTTAAAAATAAAATAAATAAATAATATATAAAAAAAATATTATCAAACGGTACCTAAATGTTATTCATAACCCATTTCCCGCCCCCACAATAGCACACGCAAAACCCATTTCTCTTACCTCCATCTCACCTTAACCTTTACTTGCACAAAATCAACATTGCTTAAATCACCTAAAACAGTGCTAACTTCCCTAGCTAACTCCCTCCACCAAACACATCCCTTCACTATGACATCAAGTAACATACAAGAACTTATACATGATATATGTATGTATGTTATGTATGAGAATGTAGACTGGACCATGTCTTACAAAATAAATACTTGACTATAGATGTTAAAGAGACTAGGTTAGGCTTGATTGCAAGTTTGCCTAATTTGTACCAGATTATTGAAATAACGGCAAGTCACACTAACTCACCAAACCTAGTTTGCAACTTGTGTAAAACAATTTCACTTAGATGTATGTATATGTGAGTGTGGGTATGTATATGTTGTTGGAATGAAAATCTCAAGAATTATTTATAGAGCGTATATATCGAATACAAAAAATTTTTCATTAAAATCCTATAAGGCAGAATTAGAGTTTACCTTTGAGATTGCTCTGATTTGATCTTGTCTCAGCACGAATGCAGAAAACAAAAGACAGAAGCAGAAGGTAGCTCGCTAAATTCCACGATCTTCTGTCGTATATCCCAAAACATCAAAAATTCGGATGCAATGTGGGCTGCAAGAACCTCCAAACTTCTGCTCTCTCTTTCAGTCTCTCTCAAAACGTGAGTAAAGAATTGATGCTGATTTAGATAGTCTAGACGTCTATATATATGTTACGACATAAACCCTAAGGAGAAATAAGTATCGGGTTTGCAATGGGCCTAGGATTTCTATATTCAACCAAGAATACAGCTCATTAATAATAAGTTAATCCACTAAAAGTTTATTGTTGATTTTCTAAGTCTTATCTTAAAATTATATTCGAGTTTCTTATTATTATATGCTTAATAATCTCCATATGTTTTAGATTACAGATGTACATTAATTAAATAAATTACTGATAATTATATTTAATTGACTTCTTTTATTCATTGAGACCTTACCATTCAACTTATTTGTCATGTCGGATAATTAAATCCACTTGCAGGGTTTGACATGGACAAAACTTATGAGCTTCTTCAAGAAGTTATCATCAACCCATTTAAATATTAGGACGTGATTTCTTTTAAAAATTAATTTTCACCATACAAATAATATCGTCTCTCAATTCACCGAGCTTATTGCCTCAATATGAATATCACGTTTTGATGAATTAAAGTGACAAACATCATACGCATGTGACAATTAAATATTTTGAGATTAAGAGTATAAATAATTATAATAATTATGAGATATTTATTATTTTATTGAATCAATAAAAGATAATAACCTCAACATGAGTTTGTTCAATACACAAAGTGTACTAGTATAATAATCCAAGACATCAAATAGTCTCCTACAGTCAAGACAAACTATTCTAAAATATTATATTACAATCATACTGATGGTGTGTCCAATTCCATCTAGGATTGTGAACCTATACTTATATTATTAAACCAATGAATTTTTGGTTCAATGATACTACTTATCTTGTAAAGTTTTGTCTTCTTGAGGTCAAGGGTTCAAGTCTCCCTTCCCCTACCCCTTCTCAAAAAAAAAAAAAAAATATATATATATATACTCATATTATACAAAGATCTGATAATCTGGTATTTTGTACATAACTTGAACTCTACATACCAAATTATTTACAATATAAAATATAAAATACACATGTATACCATATATTAAATATAATGTAAATATTTTGCCCATATAAATTATAAATAAAATGGAAAAAATAAATTTTTATTAATTAATAAAACGAGTTTCACTACAAAAAGTAAATTTTTAGTATACAGTTCTATCATATGTATGCAAATACACTAATATATAATTTATAATACCAAGAGCATTACCATAATCATCTATAACAAGAAAACAGAGCCTCTTAATTGAGTTACTGAAGCTCCCCACTTTAAAAAAAACACAACAACGGTTCCGATCATTTAGATTCGACAGTTTATATTATATTTTAACATTTTAACCATGGTAACACATTTAAATTTTAGGATTGTTCATGGGCTGGGCTAGACCGTGGCAGCCCGATGTCCATCTATGAAAGGGTCACTGATCGACCCAGATCTTAGTTTCGCCCACCCATCTAGGCCACGTTCATTGGCTAAATCCCTTGGGCTAGTGTGTGCAACTTGTCAAAAATTATTTATTTATTTTATAATTTAACGTATTTTAAATTATAATTTTCTCAGTTAGCCTAGTTATAAGCTATATATATTTAACTTCTAATTTCACTAAATAAAGAGAGATCTCGTCTGGTTCGTACCATGCTAAATCAGTACAAAACGTTCCTTCCATACGACGGGTACTGTTGGCCTTAGATTAGCCCTACCCAACCCACAAACAACCCTACTTGTGTTTCTTCAAGAATAAAACATGGCAGAGTAATTTCAATACAAAGCAATTATTATTATTATTTTTTCTAACGAAGTAACCCCATCCCCAACAGTCCAAAGATGAAAATCTTTGTAATATTTTGAACCGTTCATAAACATTACAGTAAAAATGATTAAAACATTTATAGCTCCTACATAAATAAGGAGCTGTGNGGAAATTTCTTTTACCTATTTCTTTAGGTAATCTATTATTAACAACTTCTTCCCAACTTCTTTCACTGTAAAGGAATACGATATTCTATATTCACTACTTGTGTCAAACAAGAGAAAGAAACAAGCATAAAATTATTTATACATATTCATGATATGTTCCCTATGGTAACTGAGTTCATAAATTATGGTCAACAAACAGTACGAGCTGCAAGGTACATTGGTCAAGGTTTCACGATTACTTTATCCCACGCGAATCGTTTACCTGTAACTATTCAATACCCCTATGAAAAATTGATAATATCAGAACGTTTCCGCGGCCGAATCCACTTTGAATTTGATAAATGCATTGCTTGTGAAGTATGTGTTCGTGTATGTCCTATAGATCTACCCGTTGTTGATTGGAAATTGGAAACTGATATTCGAAAGAAACGATTGCTGAATTACAGTATTGATTTCGGAATCTGTATATTTTGTGGTAATTGCGTTGAGTATTGTCCAACAAATTGTTTATCAATGACTGAAGAATATGAACTTTCTACATATGATCGTCACGAATTGAATTATAATCAAATTGCTTTGGGTCGATTACCAATGTCAGTAATTGATGATTACACAATTCGAACAGTTTTGAATTCGCCTCAAATAAAAAGGGATTGAACATATTTGATATTCAAAATTATACCACATGGAATATATCTTAATGGCCTGGCCAAGATTTTGAAATTGATTTTTTTTATATTATTTCTTCATGTTAAACAGTTAATCCTAATTGTTCTCAAATCTAACAACAGTGTCACTTTGCAATGTTTCATTGTAACATAACACTATCATTCATTAAATGAAATATATATGAATGTCATATTAGTGATGTCACATTATATGATACATACTATTTAGATTCTATATGAATTAATGAATATAATTACACAAGTTTAAGTGAATCAATAAATGTAATATGGAGGGTGCTTGAGAAAAAAAAAAGAGACAAATAGGTATATTGAAGTGATAAAAGACATGTATGATGGGTCTGTGACTACAATTAAGTCTTCCATAGGAAAAGTAAAGAATGTTGGGCAATTAAGAAAGAACATAGTGACAAAATGAACCTAGCAGAAATGATAATACTAAGGTGGATGTGTGAAAAAATTAGAAATGATAGAATAAAAAATGAATGTATTAAAGAAATTGTACGAGTAGCTCTAATTGAGAATAAGTTAATGGAGAATAGATTAAGATGGTTTGGTTATGTTCAACGGAGGCTGATAGAAGCACCGGTTCAAAAAAATAATAGAATTTCTCTTGGTGGTAATAGAAGTAGGGATAAACCTAAATTAACATTGAATGAAATAATAAGAAAAGATATAAAAATATTTAACTTAAATGAACGTATAGTGTATTATCGAAATGAATAACGAAGACGGATTCATATAATCAATCCCAAATGATTGAGACATAAGATTTGGTTTGGTTTGATTTAATAATTTTACTTAGATGTATATGTGTGTGTGTGTATATGTATGCAAATACACTAATTTATACTATATAATACTAAAAGCATTACCATTACCATTCAAAATAAGCTTGGGAATAGGGCTGTTCGTGGGCTTGGCTAGCCCGATGCCCATCTATGAAAGGGTCACCAATCAACCAGGTTTTCGTTTCGCCCACCTGCCTAGTTCACGTACGGGTCTAGCCATTAACTAAAGAACTCAGGCTAGTGTGCAACCAACTTGTCAAATTTTTTTTATTCTTTTTACAATGTAACAGATTTTAAACTATAATTTTTTAAGTTAGACGAGTTATATGCTATGCATATTTAACTTCTAATTTCACTATACATTTTTTAAGAGAGATACTATCTGATTCGTGTCATGCCAAATCAATCCAGAATGGCCCTTCCATGTGATGGGTGTTGGCCCGAGGTCAGCCCTGCCTGATCCACCAACAACCCTACTTGTGTTTCTTCAAGAATAGATCATAGCCGAGTAATTTCAACACAAAGCAATTTTTATTTTTTTTGTTCAAGTTTGTCATCTAACAAATAGGAAAGTCTTCTGGTTTGCTCTGGTGTTTGGTAATAAAGCATATTATGGTCCGAGTCTTAGTCTAAAAATGGTGACTTTGGGCTTTATAGTGGCATTTTTAAAAGATATTATGTCCTTTTAATGTTGTGACCACTACATGTGGGGGTTAAACGCAGCAGTTTCTTGGCGAACGACCATTGAATTTCCCATTTTAATATTTGACCTTTTGTGTAGGATTTGTTATTTTACTTCACTTTTTATCTACCCTTTCAACCAACCAAATAGACGTAACATCTGAATCTTTTTCAATATATTTTTTTTTTCAATTTTTCTAACAGATAAATCGTTTATTATAAATTCAAGTAGGGTCAACTATATGTAATTGGATTCCTCACCATTTGACGGTGAGTGATTTGTCAGTGATGAAAATTAAGAGAAGGTGGCTTAGAAGAAATTTGGATCGATGTGGATCTTCAAGGGTAGGGCACCATAACTTCCTGTATTGTAGAAAGATTAACTCAAGCACCAGTCCCGTGCCTTTTTGTAATAAGTCTTTCCCTCAGTACCGATAATCTGTATGTAAGCTCTTGTGACCATAAAGATCCTTTGGGAGTATCTTAAACTATATTGTGTATCGGTAAATTTTTCCAGAATATTTTTATTACCTAAAAAAATTACCTAATCTCTATGTATGACGGGAAAAGTCCCATTGATGCTATTTATGTTGTTGGGTCAGTATGCATACATGTTAGGAAAGCCCATCTCCACATGCATGCTTGTGTGTTGGTAAACAAGCATAAGTTAACAAAATAATTGATAACCCTTAGCTGAGAGATACCTGATGTTAGAGTCAGCTACCTGCCAAATAATACTTTCTTTTCCATCTCTTGAACCTCAGTCCATACCTTTGAGTCATAGTCAAGAACATTCCCTAACCAGCCATTGCTCCTCTCTCACTCTCTCTCTCTAAAGCAACTTTTTTTCTAGTATATATATGCTAATGATGGCATAACATTTTCATTGCCATTCCTTCTGTCATTGCAGCAATTTTCCTATTTCCTGGACGTTTTATTCTCTCTCTCTCTCTCTCTCTTCAGAAAGTGAAGATGAAAATGGTTCTACAGAGCCTTGTTGTCCCTCTCTTCATCATTTTAATGTCATGCCCCTCAGGTTTTTGCAATTTCCAGAAGGTCCCACTCTCTGATAATCTTGATGAGACCCAGAACCACAAGCCAATGTCAACTGTGTCCACCATTATCAATCGACACGGCAACTTCAGCTCAAACTTTCCGACTATGGTCAAGTATGAGAAAGATATATATAGAAAGCTTGTTCAAGTAGGTACCAAAGCAACCTTTCCATGGATGATGAATGTGGATGATTTCGGAGCTCGGAGTGACAGAATAGATGATTCTGAGGTATTATATTCATGAAATTATAGGATGAAACTGAATATTTAAAATTAAAACAACTGAAATGAAAGCTTTAATTTGGTTGAACTTTATTAATTAATGTCTATGATCAGTTTAAGAATAGTGACCATAATGTTTGTTACGTTTGTAGTTATGTAGTTGTTGACACAGTTTTTTTGTATTATGTATGTTATAATATTTTATGTTCTGTTTGACAAGGTTTTTAAAGTTTTTTCAAGAAAAAATAATTTGTACCAAACAAAATTTTGGGTAATTACTTTCTCACAAATGATTAAAATTCTCACAAATGCACCCTCAATCAAATAAAAATGTAGAAATGTGGTCCATTTTTAAAAAATCGAGTAGAAAATTTTCATGCAATTATTTAAAATTGAGTATTGTACAAACAATTGTGTATTAAAATAGGATAATATAACAATACAGGAATTTTTTTTGTAGAAAATGCACTGAAAATTTGGTTTTGGGCCACTTTGCCACCTTTTTATCTAATTGAGGGTGCAATGTGTGAATTTTAACCTGTTAGGGTGTAAATTAAAATTTTGATAAATTTTCAGGGTGCAAAGTGTCATTTGCTCCTAAAAATAAAACCTTTTAAACCAGCATTGTCCAACGATACCTTAATAAATTTTATTTTTCATATTTTTCCTCCAGGCATTCGAAAAAGCTTGGAAGGAGGCTTGTTCTTTTGAAGGAGTAGCTGTTCTTCTAATACCGGCTAACAGGATATATTATCTTAAACCAATTACTTTTTCAGGTCCTTGCAAATCCGTCCTTACAATGAAGGCAAGTTTGCAATGCATGAATTCATAAAATAATTGCTAGAAAATTTTTCGGGTTCTCAAAAATTCTAACGGTCATTGTTTTTGATTTTGTTCTAACTTAATTGTCCACAACACTGCACGATCACAACAATTCACCATTGGATGGTGTGGCTGTTCTTTTGCTTTCATTTCGAGAACAATTGATAATATTCGTTGTTAATTATAAACTTTTTACCTTTATACTTTATCCGTGAATGTAACTTTTCTAGCGGAAATGCATAATTTTTCTAAACATGATGGCTTTTGCTAAACTACTTATTAGATCATATAATTTTTCTTTAAATTTTTTTGGGTAATCTTAATTAGGTCCATGGAACAATCAAAGCTTCTCCTCGCACATCAGACTACAAGGAAAGCCCTAGACAATGGATTGTGTTTAAAAACATGAACAACTTCATAGTTGAAGGTGGTGGGACCATCAATGGAAATGGAAGGCCATGGTGGCGAAACTCTTGCAAAATCAACAAAAACCTTGTAAGTATTGGTGACCAAATTCTCTAATTGAATGTTTAGTAAGTGAGTGTGTGCACCCGAGCTTTTCATTAAAACTATTAGAAGTGTAACTTGGACAAATTAATCCAAATCCAACTTGAAATATAGAGTACTTGGGTAGAGATTTTAAATACTAAAGTTGGTCTTGAGCCAAAAAAATCCTAGCCCAATTTTAATTCAGCAGTACTTAGGTTGAGATCTCAAATTTTTTGAACCACGCCCAAATTTATTGGATTCAATCTCACTCCAAATTTTGGCCTTGAATTGTGTAACTAGAGACTGAAACCCCAATTGAATTCGAATTTAAGATCAAGTTGGATCACATGGAAGTCAAACCCAAATTGAACTTGATTTTAAGCTAATTTATATCATCCGGGTTCAACCCAAGTTCAATTTTTCAAACATGGCGATACTCAACTTTGATGGACTCTACATTAGCATGATAAAAAAGACACGTAGTTGAGATGAGTTCTCATTATCTATTACACCTTTTTTATTATATATTTACGAGTTGTTAGACTAATATTTGACATATTTTTCCATGTTTTTTTATGCAGCCTTGCGTGGATGCACCAACGGTAAGTCTGTGCCTCTTCTACCAAGCTAGCTTGACAAAGAATTAACATGAACAAAATCTAGTGTTTTATTTTCAGGATTTAAGAGTTTTTGAACTTTTTTGCAGGCTGTGACCTTCGACAATTGCATAAATTTGATAGTAGCCAACATAAGGATTAAAAATGCACAGCAAATGCATCTAACTTTTCAAGATTGCGTGAATGTTAAAGCTTCAAATCTCAAAGTAACTGCACCAGAGAAGAGTCCCAACACTGATGGAATTCATGTCACTGGAACCCAAAATATTCAGATTATGAACTCTCTTATCAGAACAGGTAAAGAAAAGGAGCCAAACAAGCATGAATTCTTAGTTCTATTACTGTATTTTACCCATGTTACACTAATAGATTAGGAGAAAGATTACGGTACCAAACTCTATATCATAACAAATGTTAGAACTCATTGTGGTTGATTCCAAGCAACCACATGAGTTGTAATCTCATCTATTCGTGGTATGGTACGAACAAGTAACCTAGTGGTATCATAGTCTTTTCCATAAGTTAATTTTTTTTTACCAATTTTTCCTTATTAACTAATGTGGCATAATCATAAGTTCATAAGCATTGGATGATTAGTAAAAACTAGTAATCAAATAATCCACATTAGTTGATAATTAAAACGTTTTTAAAAAAAGTCAGAATTTGTGTTTTTGTACACGTGTAATGGTTTTGTATTTATAATAAATTAGAAAATCTTGCCTTGAGATGATGGAGAAAATGGGATTTTTTTGACCTTTTTATTTTTCTAAATATTTTTGCAGGTGATGATTGTATTTCCATCGTGAGTGGGTCTAAATATGTTCGAGCAACAAATATAATTTGTGGACCAGGCCATGGAATCAGGTCTCAAAATCTAAATCCAACCAACTTATTAATAAACAAAAAAATTCAAAACAAAATTATTTTCTACTTATATATATAAATCGTTTATTTACAAATTTATTTTCACGTTTCTTCACAGCATTGGAAGCTTAGGAAAAAATAAGGCAGAGGATGAGGTTTCAGATGTGGTTGTGGACAGAGCAAGAATTTCGGGGACCACAAATGGAGTAAGGATAAAGACTTGGCAGGTAAGTGTCATTTTACAACTTCCATATTTAGTTCAGAGGTCAAATTACACTTTCAGCCTTAAACTATACTCCTAATCTCTTTTTATCCCCTCCTCTATCGAGTTTTTTTCACATTGGTCCCTTAATTACAAGAATTTGTCTCATGTTTCGTACAAAATGTTTTTACATGTCATCTTATTTTGGATGCAATTTAATAAAATAAAATTGTTTGCGGAACAAAATGATATGACAATGGAAAACCAATAATCATGGTTAAAGGGTTAGTGTCAAAAACATGATAGTTGAGGGGATACTATGAAACAAGAGTGTAGTTGAATGGCCCAAAGTATAATTTATCCTTATATACTACTCATTAATACCTTGGAATTTGGATGAAATAATACATCAACCCCTTGTATGTGTGAAATGACAAGAAAGCCCCATAGATCTCATTTCTATATTTCATCAATGATTAATTAAATGTTCGTTTTTTCTCATTTTATATGCAGGGAGGGTCTGGATATGCAAAGAACATCAGATTCCAAAACATTATCATGCACAATGTGACCAATCCAATAATTATAGATCAGAACTATTGTGATCAGTCAGAATTATGTCCAGAACAGGTAATAAATAACTCAAATTCTATCACCAATTGGTTTGTCAATCGTGTCGGGTAAAGCGGGTTCATATCAAAAAGTACTCTATCTATATCCAATTTGTTTATTAATTCGTGTCTAACGAATTGTGTCATATCGAGTCCGTGTCGTGTATGATCATATACAACCGATGTATACACGAATCATATCGTATATTTCTTTTAATTGATTTCACTTATACTCAATTCGTTTATTAATCGTATCGTGTATTTCTTAAAGAAGACTCAAACCATATAATTGTGTGTCATGTTGCCGGGTTGTATCATCTTCTAACACCACTAATCACCACCACCCTAATCATAGACACTCATTCTGCCAACTTGCGTCTCTTTTGTTACATTTTCTCACATATTTTTTTAATAATAGATCGTCTATTGCTTACTATTGATTAGAGTACGGAAAAATAACTTTTCAGTAATGTATCTTCACTTCTAATCTAATTAAATCATAACCATTTTTTTTTTTAATAGTCATATTTCACTATAACACCCATTTTTTTTTTGTGAGTACCGTAGACTTATCCTCTAACTCTATGATCTGTATTTAATTTCAGCACTCAGCTGTGCAAGTAAGGAATGTGGTGTACAAGAACATCAGAGGGACCAGTGCTTCAGAGGTGGCTGTTAAACTTGACTGTAGCAAGACCTTCCCGTGCAGTGGCATTGTGTTGCAGAACGTAAATCTAGTCAGTGAAGGAGAGACAAAAGCAAAAGCTTCGTGCCAGAACGTTAGACTAGCAAGCACAGGGAGCGTCTCTCCACTTTGCCATTGACAAAAAGCAAAAGGAACATCCATCACATTCTTATGAAACAGTTTTTTGGGTTTTAATTAGAATTTAAATAGGAATATATTTTTTAGTGAAGAATAATTAGTTTTTTTTTATTTCATGTAAAATTTTGTTTTTTTTTTCCTCTTTTTTAAGATTTCATGCTCGATGAGACTTATTAATTTCGTTTCTTTATTAAAGTCTGTAAATCAGTGGCGAAAGTCTCGTAGATTGATCCGCCCTTTTTTATTTCATGTAAAATTTTGTTTTTTTTTTCCTCTTTTTTAAGATTTCATGCTCGATGAGACTTATTAATTTCGTTTCTTTATTAAAGTCTGTAAATCAGTGGCGAAAGTCTCGTAGATTGATCCGCCCTTTTTATAAGTTTGTAAGTCACATAACGATTTAGATACTCATTCTTCGGGTACATTTCTCATTTATTTTATCGTACAAATTTTTTTATTTTTTTGTGAATTTAAGCTTATGTGTGTGTGTTCTTCAAAGTTTTTTTTTGTTAATACCTATTAAGGCGTACATGATCTTCACAATATAGTTGCTCGTTTTTTTTTTTTTTGTTATACCTAATGGGTCAATGAGTCATTAGGTTAACCGATAAGATCAGTCATAAATTTAATGGAGAATAGGTATTTTTTAAACTATTTAATTGTGAGAAATTATATTTACTAAAATATTTTATAAATAAGTACATTTGACTTGAAATGTGTTGTAGTCAGTGTACTCATTGACAGATTTTTATATATTTTTTTCACTAAAATACCATTTTCTTTATTTGAAAACCGGTTAGTTGGGCAATCCTATTTTTTATGCAATTTGATTTATTATATTAATAGTTTCATATTTTAAGGGATTGAACATATTTGAAATTCAAAATTATACCATATGAAATTATACCTTAACAGCTAAGCACAAATTTTGAAATTTATTTTTTTATAATATTTGTTAATATTAAACAGTTCTGATTATTTTCAAATCTAGCAACAGTGTCACTTTGCAATGTTATATTGTAATGTAACACTATCATTCATTAAAAAAATATATATATAGATATCACATTATATGATGCATACTATTTAAATTGTGTATAAATCAATGAATATAATTTCACAAGTTTTTTGTCAGTGATTAAAGTGTTAATGAAATTATTACACTGTCATATATTACTGTAATGTCATATTATCGACAATTTAAATCAAAATAAAAGAAATATTGGTCTTCAATGGTAATTCAACTTTTTTTTTTTGGTTGAAAATTGAAGGATTTTGTATTAGATTTTTTTTTAAATTTGAAAACTCGTGTTTTGTGGAATAAAGTAGTTGTCGAATTTAATGGGATTGTTGCATTCATTATGGCAATTTCTTTATCCACTCTTTACGCCATATAATTGTTACCGTGTGGGCATTTCTATCATCCCAAAAAAAAAGTACTTCTATATAAAACATTTTGTACTAAGTATTTTTTCACAATTAAGTGATAAATTAAGTACCGACTCACAAAAAATCCTAAATTTAAAAGTGAAAAACTAAGCCTTCTTCATTTCAATTGGCCCGCTAAGCCAGCCCAAATCTAGGTTGGCAGGCTGGTCCATTTTCTTAGGCATTTGCTCCGTCAAATAGGCCCAAAAATATAGAAACCAAAACGGCTTGTATTGTATACACTGCCACATAAGGTGGAAGGGTAGGTCGTGTCGGCTTTAGGTTGGACCAACTCCGGTTTATGTTTACTAGGCCCAGTTAAGACTTGGGCTGAATGTACCAGGCTTTGTCAATCTCGGGGAATGTTACGGGCCCGGCCCAAGAAAGCCTAGTTGCTGTGTTGTATTTAATTTCGTTTTCTAAATCTTAAAAAAACTAAAACATAAACATCATAGTTGTTTACATGACAATGTTGATGATTTGAGGAGCCACAGTACTTATAATAATTATATATAATTATTTCATTCTCCAAAATTGAATTAAAAATTTTAATATATAAGCATAATATGTTTATAAATAAGTAACTAGGGTGGATTCAGGGGTGTCAATTTTACTCATTGCCACGAACTCGAGACAAACACGACCCAACACAGAACTCAAAAATGACACGATCAATTAACACAAAAATAATGTTATACTCGAATAACATGGTTAATGGATAATGTAGACAAAAAAATATATTTTAAATTTTTTTAAATAGTATCATATCAGATGTTACAAAATTAAGTAGTTTTTCATTGGCACAAATAAGATATCCACAAAAAATGATATAACCGAAAATGACACAATACAAAAATAACACGTTACGGCACGATTGAGATACGTACACAGGTTTAAGGCTTTAAAACAGTAGCTCCTACATTTATCCAGGCCCAAAAAACGCCCATAACTTGATGGTCTTCGTGGACCGGACGGGCTTCCTGGCCCATGGACATCCCTTGAAAAGGTTGTGTAGACCTCTCATTGAAACAATCTTTTTTGATGGAGCTCTTTGCAATCACAGACAATGTGTATTTAATGGCATCACATCACACTTTAGGTTGAATTTCAATGTAAATTCAAACTACTTTCACTGAAAAGGGTTGACATATCTCATGCAACTATCAGTGAAGGATCCATAGGACTTCACTTGATGTGTGATGGTGATGAAATTTTTTTTTTTTAGTATTGAAAAATTGTCCCAACCACATATCAATTCAATTTAGGGCAGCAATGCAAAACTTGCATTTTCTCGAAGACCCATTAACTATGCGGATCATGGGTGATTGAATTCTCTTTATATCTTTCTATTATTTCTGAAAACAGTACCCTAACCAAGAAATTTTGAAACACAAAATCGGTCTTAGTTCTGATTTACCCGTAATTTACAGGCACTAACTTTTGATGTTTAGCTCTCAAGACTTATCGACCTTATTATTGGAATATTAACATAAAGAAAGATAAAGTTACTAGCTCAATCCCAAGCTAGGTTGGTGACAGTATTTTTCACTGGATTTGCTTTCCAATAAATGTGACACAACTTAGAAATTGACCAGTTCATAATGTAAACATGCACAAACTTCCAATGAGTCCCCTTCAAGGAAAAAAGATCTTGAAGAAGGTGACAACAAGGAAAATGACTTTTCTTGCTGTAAGGTATGTAATTGTAGCAATTAAATCAAAATAAACAAGGATTTGACAGTGAGGCATAACTCTCTCTCTCTCTCTCCCCCCCCCCCCCC